AAAATGTGTTTGGTTATGTTCTAACAAATATTTAATTTTTAGCCCACTTTATTTTAGTGATACAATATTTATTTTAGCGTAAATCTTTTTTTTTTTTAGTAGTGTACAAATCTTTTTGCACTAGACCATAAATAGGTTTATATTTCATCATTTATTAGTAAATTACCAATATACTACAGTTGCATAAAGATTACTTGAAAAATATAATAAAGAATAACAAAGTTTTCTTTCATATATTCTTTATCAAAAACTAAATATAATTATCTTTTAAAATTAATTAGTAATATGAATAAGATACCTATACCATTTAATTTATCAAATTAGATAATTATTGAAGAGTATAAAAAGAAAAATATTTTAATTCTTATAACAGAACATAAATGCATCTATTTACAGTGACTCTTGCTTATCTTACAGATGATATTAAACTGCCTCTATTTATAATTTTTAAATTAGTTAAAGTATTACAAAAATAGTTTTCAGATAGTGTATATATTCATGTTAATTCAAGTAGCTAGATAGATAAAAAAGAAATGCTTTAGTGAATGAAAAATATATTATATAAATAGGCTAATTTGAGTTTAAATTTACAGTTCTTCTTATTTTTGATTTATTTAATACTTATAGAACAGATTCAGTAAATTATCAATTTAATAAAAAGAATACAGATATTGTTATAATATTAGATACTTAACACTATGTTTATAACTATTAGATATATCTTTAAATAAAGCATTTAAAGTAAAGGTTAGTTTAGTATTGATTTACTTAACCTATATCAATATAAAGAATTTTTTATTAATTTTTAAATTTATTATAGATTTGTTATACTTACAATCAATAGATAGTTGAGGCTATAAAGAAATATATACTAACAGGTAAAATTAAATGGTCATCATATTTATTAGTAGCAATTTAAATTAAATAGACATGAGACAATATTAATTTTACAATAGTATAATGATTTTTCAAGTGTTGTAAGATTTTCACAACAGTAGATAATACTGAAGATAATTCTATTTTTGATTTTATGAAAGTATTAAATAAAAATGACAGAAATATTGATATTAAAGAAGAGAGAAAAAGTAAAGGAGAAGATAATGAAAGTAATTCAGAGTGTAAATATTATGAAAATAAAGTGAGAAATTATGTTAATATCTGAATTAACAATTTAGCATTATAAATATTAATTAAACAAATAAATTTACCTTCAAGATTATAGATTTTTATAAAAAAATTAAACATAATCTTACATTTTATAAGATTTTTATTTTATATATAATTTGTTATTTTTACTTATTATATGTAATTTGATTTTATGTTACTAATTTAATTTTTTTACATAAAATAGTATGAGATAATAATAATGTAAATAGTGTGATGATGACATTATATTGATTAAATAACATATTCTGTGATATGTTAAAATTTTGTTAAAATAGTGTTGAGAATTTACATTATTTTTTATTAATTTTGATCATTTTTTTGTTGAACATGTGTTGAAATTGCTTATTAATTTTATTTTATTAAATTGTGATGAATAATTTTATAATAATTTTATTTAATACTGAGGTGATAATTTGTTATTGTTGATCTACTTTGATTATCTGATATATTATATTTATTAAATTCACATAAGTTATTTTTGAATTAATCTAATTTTTATAAATAATATAATATATAATAATTATTCTTTAAATTGTAAAGCAGGCAAATTTATTTGCAAACATAAAAAAGTATTAATTTTTTAATAAAAAATAAAATATTAATATTAATAATATAATTATTAATAAAAAAATATAATTTAATATATATTTTATCAATTTTATTATAAGAAATTTTTAAATAATTAAATTTTTAAAATTAAGTTTTGAAAAATTTATTATAATAATTTTTTAAAAATTTTCTTAAAATTCATATATTTGCGAA